TTTCCCCTTTGCTAATAATTTTAACGAATGAAAATAATTGCCGGGGTTATATAGAGCATGAATTATTTTTTTAAGGATAAATTGATCTTAAGAGCATTGCATTATACCAAGGGGCTCCGTAACGTTTAGAAGATACTCTTATCAAACAAAATATATCTTATATTAAAATTCACAAAATTTTACCAAAAAGGGAAAAAAAAAACACCAGAGCTCAGAGCCACGTCATTACATAACCGCTAGTCTTGGCTCACACGAAAGAGAACGAATAAGGAATTGACTCACACGAAGTAGCAAGAATAAAGAATAAACAAGGGAGATATCGTTGCCTGAAATGTGTGAGGTGGAAACAGCGGCGACCGAGGTGGACCGCCGTCGTCGAGGGGCGGGCGGGGAGGAGCACCTGGCGAGGGGCGTGGTCACTCCCATCCAGGCGAAGGGGAGCATCAGGACCCCGTCACCTGAAAGACGTCTCGGGAAAGTGTTTATTCTTTATTTTGGGGGAAGCAAAGACTGTTCTAAGTTTTCTATTTGACACTTTCTCTGTACTTCATTGAAAATGCCTTTGATGTTCTTTATTTTGACACGGTTCGACAAATGAATATCCGCGGTTATAATGGAATGGTGCGAGTTGATAGTGAACGAGGCCTTGTAAAAACTGCAGCCTCCTGACAGTGGGAACATCTGTAAGGTCTACTTCTGGCCAATCGTAAGCTAGGATCTCTCTGAATACAGCAGCCAATCACAGAACCGCTTGCTTTTCGGCCACAAGGTTGATACGTATATATACCCTCGGATGACCAATCTCTTTAGACCCAGAAGCCTCACCAGGAGTTCTGAATCTCTGAAAACTAAACGACATGAAGTTCTTAGTAAGTCTGTTATATATGTATATATATATGTCTACATTTATGCAGACGTTGTCATCTTAAGACCCTCCTGGTTGCAATATAACCTCAATTCTAGATTTTCATCGGTAACGTATTTTCTTCACATTGACGAAGGAAACAACTGTACTTCATGACTAATAATCTGCATCTTTCCACAGGCAGCTATCTGCGTGCTCGCCGTCGGCGTCAGTGCACAGGTTGGGCCTTCAGGAATCGTAAGTCCCGATGGAGTAAACACTCAGTTCTCCCACGACTTCGCCAATGACATCGTGCTGGTTGGACCCGCTGGCATCGTCACAAAGTCTGGCACCAACCGCCAGCTTACCCACGGAGAGGCCACCCTTCACGTTGCTGCACCAGCTGCTCCCCTTCCCGTGGCTCAGTTGGTGTCCCAGCGTGGCGTGATTGGGCACTCTGGCATCGTTCGCCCTGATGGAAAAAACGTCCAGTTCACACAGGCTCAGGCTGACAACATCGTGCTGGTTGGCCCATCTGGCATCGTGACCAAGGACGGCTCCAACATCCAGCTGACCGACGACCTCCATTTCGTCCAGAAGCGCGATACCTATGGGCATCTGGTGGGAGCTTCAGGAATCGTGACCAAGGATGGCCAACTGATCCAGCTGGAACCTGGTGTGGTTGTGGCCAGCGCTGGTCCCTCTGGCGTGGTTCTGTCCAACGGAAAGAACATCCAGCTTAACCTCTAGTCTCTGTATTCCTGAAAACGAATTCTGTCGTTGCTTGCTTTGACGCTGGATTATAAAGTTATATGTACAAACATTACGAATTTGCCAAATGAAGATTCAGTGGAAATCACTTACTACTTTAATTAATCCTCATTTTAATTAGATATCGGATGATGGTTAAAAACCTTATCTAAACAAAACATGAAGACATCAGAAAGACAAATAGTCAAAAGATCTGAGACATTTCCTTAAATTAATAAGAAATAATGTTTCTGTAAGAAGTATATGATGAACTGAGTTTCACAAACCTTACACAGTATGGAGAGATTGGAAAGGTAAAAACTAGAAACATAAGGTATGTTAGCACTTCAGAATAATGAAATTCCTGAAGTCACTATAAACAAAAATGCTTTAAGTGACCTATACTATAGAAACAAAGACAGTATATATAAAATTGCATTCGGACTAATAGATAGATGGATGGATAGATTAATAAAAAGACAAATGGAGAGATATATATTTAAATACTGCAGAGGCGTAGTTTATTGATAAGTGTATATATAAGTATTGTTATCGGTATGCATCCTTATGTATCTTATGTGTATTATATATATATATATCTGTGTGTGCTTTTATCTATCTACCTACCTACACATACATCCAAAAATCTATATCTATATCTATCTATCTATATGTATATATACATGCATGTGTGTGTGCGTCTGTGTGCATATATATATATACATACACACATCTATCTGTCTATCTATACAGTTTTCCTTATCCAACTGCAGTAGTTGATTCGAGGACACTGAGAATACAGGCTTGTGGGAAGACAGGTTGGTACCGCCAGACCATTTACCACCAATACATGCCAACTGCGCGTTTCCATAGTGCCAAGTACAAGGTTGGCAGTGCTTAGCAGAGGCGAACATGGCTCCACTGATAAGAAAAGAGTTCAGAACACTGTGATGGATGATGAGGAGAGCAATACTACACAGTGATATGAGACTTTCTCCCGTAATGGTAAGACATATAAAGCTTATATAGTGATAAAGAGAAATGTTTGGAAGTGTGATAAACAAAAACAACACGCTTATGGTAAGATAAACATGAATAGTAGAAGATACAATGTAATGACACGAGAAAGAACATTCGAGCAAAGATAAGAAAAATTATGCAATATTGATAACATTTCATGCATATTTAAAATCTAATAGACATATGTGTTGAAAGGTATTATGGTTAACTGAATGTCGCCTTCAAAAAAAAAAGTTCAATCTATGGATAATTAGGATTACCAACCGCGGTATTTCTATACATATATAGAAATAGAAATGGATGAACCGATATACATGCAAACACACACACATGTATATATATGTATATATATATATATATATATATATATATATATATATATATATATATATATATTTATATATATAATACACACACACATATATATATGGTATATATAGAAACACATATATATGGTATATATATATATATATATATATATATATATATATATATATATAAACACACACAGATACTCTATATTTTTTGCCGAATCTCATTAGCAGCTTCTCGGCTAAATTCCTCGCCAGGAAACAGTTGACGGCGGTATTATAGGTGTTTTTTTTCTTCCCAAACATTAATTTGGAAATTACCAAATCTTGCAGTGGGGTGATGTGATGTGTATATGTGCCTGCGTGTGTGTGTGTGTGTCTGCCTATGAATCTATATTTCTATATGTATACATGGTCATGTGTGTGCATGTGTCTGTGTTATATATATATATCTGTATGTATATATGTATATATGTATATATCTATATATCATGCGTGTACATGAGTCTGCATTAGAATATGCACACCTAATTAATTTTTTAATTCATATAACGATTTATATAAACACATACACACAGATATATATATATATATATATATATATATATGTATGTATGTATGTATGTATATATACATACCGACCATTCCCTACCCCCACAATAAAGGAAAAAAAAACATAAATACGTATGTGTATATATATGATTATATATATATATATATATATATATATATATATATATATATATATATATATATGTAATACATACACACAGACACACACACATATATATATATATACCAACCGTCACTCACCTAAAAAAAAAGAAAAGGAATACATACATATATATATATTCTACACGCACACACACACACATATATATATATAAATATATATATATATATACATATATATATATATATATATATATATATATTATAGATATTGTATATATATATATATATATATATATATATATATATATATATATATATATTTCACACACACCTACCTATACATATTATATATATGTATATATATTTATATACATACAGTATATATATATACATATGTATATATGTAGACAGTATACATCTATATCTATATCTATATCTATATATATATTTATATATATACACCCATACATCTACACCAACCGAACCTCACCTAAAAAAAAAGAAAATGTATATATACATACAGATATACATATATATATATGTATATATATATACATATATATATATATATATATATATATATATATATATATATATATATGTGTGTGTGTGTGTGTGTGTGTCTGTGTGTATTTCACACACACCACATATATACATTTTATATATATGTATATGTATACACACACACACACACACGCACATATGCATATATATATATAGTATTTATATATGTATATACATTTAAATGTGTTTGTGTGTGTGGACGCATACACATATACATTATGTATGTATATTTACTGCTACAAAAATCATCCCCCCCTTACAAAATAGACGAGTATATATACAATATATATATATATGTGTATATAAAAGGGATACGCAGGGGAGAAGAGTGAGGCATCTGTTAACATACTAAAACCTTCAACTTTAATCATAGTAGCCGGCACAGAGGGAACGTAATGCCTGAGGTCAGCGGGGCACTGATCTCTACTACGGTGGCATTGAGGCAAGGACACCCACCCTGGCTGGCCAATAGGGATCTCCACGGAGCCGTGGCCCTCCGCTCGGGAAAGTATAAAAGGCCGTTCCTTGATAGTTTCAGTATCACTTACTCGCTCGCAGTAGCCTCTGTTGGATTTCTGTGAACACCACGCAAGATCAAGATGAAAGTTCTGGTGAGTCTTTGTTTCCTTCTGTTCAGTATTTATGATTTTCTGTTTCATGTTCGTATGGAATGTATTTTCATGATTAACGGATGACAGCAACGTATCTGTTTACGTTGCTTGGAATCCATAATTTTCTAATGCTTCATATCCTATAGAAGTGTTTATTGTAACAGATGATTTTTCTGTATCAATCTACAGGCAGCTATCTGCGTGTTCGCCGTCGGCGTGAGCGCA